ACAATGTGAGTGAGGAATACATTTCACCCCTCAAACGACAACATTTACAGCAATTTGGACCATTGAGGGGTAACGTTTATCAGGGCCGGCCATAGGGGTAGGCTCCTAGGCAGTGGCCTAGGGAACCACTCCCAAGGGGGCATCATTCTCCTGTCCAACAGGTTTTGGTCCGAACGCCGTCCGAATAACGCCTTTCGGGGCGGTTCCTGGTGGAATTTTTTGATGAAATTTTTATGGTATGTTTTTCATCAAGTCTAGTTTATCCACAAAACATTTCAGCTCAAAATCCGACCGGGAAAGCCGTCAAATAAGTTTTGTAAATTAATTGCGCAAAATTATACATAGAAAAACGCAGTCACCTTCCAAAAATTATTTGACGGCCTTCCGGATCGAGTTTTGATCTGATTGTTTCTGTGAATAAACTAGTCTTGATGCATAACATACCATAAAAATTTCATCAAAAAATTTCACCGGAAACCGCCCCAAACGACGGTGTTCGGACGGCGCCTCAGGTCAGAACTTTCAGACCTGAGAATTTTCCTATATATATAGAATAAACTGGCCCAATAAGAATTACTGATCATGATGATTACCTCGTTGATAAAAAACGGAGTTTTAGTGACAAACACTAAGCTCCGTACTTGCAAATGGTGAAAAAAGTGTTATCTACTCTTGATTGTGATGATGTACTTACAAATTTGCACATCAAAAAGCAAGAAGAATATGTTACTAGTACTCCCTCCGTCCCATAATTAACTTCGGTTTTGACTGGGCACGGGGATTAAGATAGTGAGATTTGTGTGGTGGAGAGTTGTGCAGAGGAGAGAGAAATGTGTAAGAATGGTTGTGAACCACATATTCTTTATCAAAAAGGGAAAGATGAGATAAATTTGGGACGGACCGAAAAGGAAAGAATGAAGATAATTTCGTGACGGAGGGAGTATTAGGTAGTACTTTTATAATTTTATTATAATTTTATTTATTTCTTTGAAGAATTTATATTTTCACATACTTTACATCAATTTTAAATCAAGTATTTCTTTTTACATTTAGTAAAAAATGATGTTATAATTTTCTAATTATTTCATATTTAATTATGTTATTAATTTGAAGTACAATTTGATATCATTAGTTATTTTTTGTCTGGGGCACCAAAATTCCTGGAGATGACCCTGACGTTTGTAATCGCAGAAATACGGCTTTAACATTTATAACATTTATAATCGCAGAAAGTGTGATTTTCTCATAATAATACTACGTACTACATAGTTGATATATAGCTAGTTACGTTGGGATCATGAACTCGTATCCATAATCCATAACTGTTGATACTTGATAGTTGATACAACCCAGGATTTGCTTTAAAAAACTCTTTTTAATGTAGGTTATTAGTCATTCATATACGTACGAATTACTACGTACTGTATTATTTAATACTCCCTCCGGTTCTTATTAAAGTTCTCACTTTCCTTTTTGGGATGTCCCTTATTTAAGTTCACACTTCCATTTTAGGAAACAAAACAGTGCAAAACAGTGCCACACAGTGCCAAACAGTGTCCAAACAGTGGCAAACAGTGCCAAACAGTACACTCCACAGTAAAGTCAAATATATTTTCTTAATATGTGTGAAGTCAAATTGAGAACTTAAATAAGAACCGGAGGGAGTAAGTACTAGTAGCATATATAGGCAGGGGAGGATCTATGCACAGGCTAAGGCGCATTGAAGCCCAGGACAACTTAAAAAAATTTCAAATTTTGTAGTATAAATTTTTCATTTTTCGCGCATAGCCCACCCTTCTAATATTTTAGCTAGTATAAATTCTATTCAGCCCATGACATATCATATTCCTGATCTACCCCTGTGTATAAGTTCCAAACTTCCAATATACTTGGTATGCTGTTAGAAAAGACAATATAATTGGCATTGAACTTTAAAGTTGCATTACTTTAATCGCACATGCATTACCAAATACAATACTCCGTATATGATACTCCCTCGGTCCCTATATTATCTCCTCATTTGATCGGGCACACAAATTAAGATAGTGAGTTTTGCGTGGTGAAGTGTTGTGCAGAAAAGAGAAAAATGTATAAGAATTGTTGTGAATCACAAATTCTTTGCCAAAAAGGAAAAAATGAGAGTAGTATTTACTCTCTCATATCGTAACAAGTACTGTAACATCAACAGAGCAGATTATCCTTAATTCATTGTTGTTCTTGAGTATATTATGATAGTTCTATAATAACCATAACAATTAGATTCATATATCGTGTTTCATCTCATTTTTCTATACTACCCATATAGTTCCGATACATGACAAGAGTCGATCACTCACCCAAAGTATCGCGTTGAACCTTTGGACCGAAGGAATTGACCTCAAAAGATCTAATTAAATTAGACCTGCACATTTTCATTTTAAATCAAAATAGTACATTTTTTTTCGTTTTAAGCATGTTTTAATTTTAATATGTTTTGACCATATAAATTTAAATAGATCCAACCAAAGGGTATCGGATTTAGACAATGCAAATATAAAGTAAAGTATACATACATATACCTAATCATAAAATTTTAATCCAAAAAAATATATTTTTGAAGTTCTGATTAGAAAATTAGAAGAAAGCCACCTCTAGCTTGTTGGTAATCCTAAGTATGTTAATTTGACGTAAGAAAACAATAATTCCCCCAAGTTATTAAGAAATGAAAGACTTGCGGTGGGAATAAGTAGGTAACGTGTGTACCCAGCGTTTCCATTCTGGTTAATCACAACAAACACTTGATTTCATGATACTTTCACTACATTTCACTGTTTTTCCTTCTTTAAATTAGACTTAAATTCCTGTTGCTGGGTTGACATAAAATACACTTTACCAAAATTCTTTTCTCATAGCACAACAAAGTCAAACCATTTCTCCATTTTTCCTTCCTTGTGTTGTGCTTGCCATTACTCCTTCTGGGAATCATTACAGTGTTTAACAAAAACATGTTCATCAAAATTTAATGAAGAAAAGGAAAGACAAAAGAAGAAGAAGATGACGTATCATCCTCATAGCTGCAGATTCAGCCGCACAAAGCTGCACGTCTTCTCCACTACCAGCCTCGCCGCCGCCATTGCTTTTGTCATCTTTTTCTCTGACACCTTCATAGACACGTCGTCAACCTCAGCTTTTCCCAGCCAGAAGAATCCCAGAAGATCTAAACCGTTGAATTCGATCAAAGAAGATTACTTTATACAAACCCAAGCTTCAGCCCGCCTGGTTCCGCCTTCTAATCTCACTGCCAGAGAGAGAATGAAATGGTTCAAGAACAGCTTCCCCCAATTTGGGATCTTTAAGTCAAATGAAAAGTCAAGAAAGTTCCATCAAAGGGTCAAAGAGTTTTATAACAGAAACAGAGAGTGTAAAGTTAGGTTCTTTATGACATGGATAGCCTCTGCAGATTCTTTTGGAACAAGAGAGTTCTTATCAATGGAGAGTATCTTCAAGGCTCATAAAACATATGGATGCTTGATCATACTTTCTCAATCTCTGGATTCAGAATATGGGAAAGCACTTCTTGATCCCCTGATTGAATCAGGATTTGCAGTAATCGCGGTCATGCCCGATTTACCCTTCCTGCTCAAGAACACTCCAGTTGAAGATTGGTATACCGATTTGAGAAATGGCAAGAAAGACCCTGGGGAGATACCCTTTGCTCAGAACCTGTCAAACCTGATCAGGCTGGCTGTTCTGTACAAATACGGAGGGGCATTTCTGGACACAGATTTCATAGTGATGAAGAACTTTTCTGGACTGAGGAACGCCATTGGAGCGCAAAGCGTGGATCTTTATGGGAACTGGACGAGATTGAACAATGCTGTGTTGGTTTTTGACAAAGGGCACCCTCTGATTTACAAGTTTATGGAGGAATTTTCCCTGACGTTTGATGGGAACAAGTGGGGGCAAAATGGTCCATATTTGGTCTCAAGGGTGGTGGAGAGAGTTCAGAGCCAATACCCTTTCAGATTTAGGGTTTTGCCTCCCATGGCTTTTTATCCTGTGGATTGGCTTCATATTGATGGGTTCTTCAAGAAACCAATGGATGAGAAGCAAGGAAAATGGGTGGAAGCAAAGATGGCTCGCTTAAGGGAAGAAGAGACTTATGGAGTTCATCTTTGGAATAGGCAAAGTAGGGGAAAAAGGATTGAGAAGGGTAGCATTATAGGTAAGATTTTCTCTCAAAATTGTATCATCTGCAAAGGTATTTATGATTCTTAGCATGAACATTATATGTATGTAGTATACTCGTGTCATTTATTCATAAAAGAAGCTTGCAAGAGTGTGATCCTGTGAATGTAATTTTGTCTACAATTCCATTTCAGTACATGCATATATAAAGTATTTCGTAGCTGATTTTAAGTGTGCATACAAACAGAGATTAAATTGGGATTTGGGACTGTTTTTTGTTTAATCTTTTGTTATATCATTATTCAGTTCTTGATATAAACAAGTTGAGTTAAGCTTGAAGATCTGTAATCTTGAGTTAAGCTAAGAATAATTGTGTTATCTCAAGTTTGAGTTTGAACGAGATACATAAAAACAGGTCCTCCAACTTACATAAAAATGTCAAATAAGCCCTTATATAGGAGACTCTGTCCGGTCGTCACCATTTGGGGCAGTTGTAGGTGGAATTTTTTGATGAATTTTTTTGAGCATCTTATTCATTAAGTCTAGTTTACACATCAAATTTCAGCTAACAAGTCAATCGGAAAGGCATTCAAATGAAGTCCTGAAGATAACTGCGCAATTAAAAGCGCAGTTACCTTCAAGAATTCATTTGAATGTCTTCCCTATTGAAGTTGTAGCTAAAATTTGGTATGAGTAAACTAGACATAATGAAGCTGCTTTAGTTGATGTCTATTATCAGCTGAAGAAATATACGTTTTCAACTGGTTTTTTACCGTTGAAAGGTTAAAAGACTTTTTTATCCTCTACTATATTGGAATTTCCCATCCAAATGTTCCTGATTGCATCCTTTCTCCTGCAGCTCCCATTCATGACTTTCAAGAGTTCTCATCTGGACCGAAGTCATCTAACTCGGCTCCTGATGCATTCTAGAGGTAAGCTCTCTTTAGCTCTTCTTCATCAGCTTGATTAATTTCTTATTTTCAAACTTGGGCCTTATCATTCATTTCTAAAGTAGTACGGAGTAATATAAAATCAGCACATGCTGCGCAATTATAAATTAAACAAACGTCTTTATAATTGGGAGCTATTAGCAACGAGCTATATACTCCCTCCGTCCCGAAATAATCGTCTTGTTTTGACCTTCACACAGATTAAGAAAACAAAGTTGACTTCACACTGTAGCGATACTGTTTGGCACTGTAGCGACACTGTTTGGCACTGTAGTGACACTGTTTGACACTGTTTTGACACTGTTTTGTATAGATTTGTTTACCAAATGAGAAAATGAGACAATTATTTCGGGAAGGAGAGAGTATAATGAAACAAGGAGATAAAACAATAAATCAAGATTTCACTCTCCACCAGTTTACCAGATTAAAGCTTAGTGTTTGTAATTGTTATTGATTTTTACCTGCCGTTTGCATGAACTTGATTTTGACAAAAACTTTCCCTTTCTTCTTTTTGATTAAAGTTTTCTAGTAAAGAATTCAGTAGTATCCAAATGTTACTTTGGTTTTCTCTTTTCAATATATTTTAAATACAATTGTCAATTCCGATTTTCTTTGTACAAAATGATATCTTTTTACAATTATACATTCAATCAGTTGTTTCGATCAATATATCAAAACATTTTCTATTTAGCAATTTCAACAATTTCAATCAGTCAATTCAATCAGTTATCACTGTTATAGGCCCATAGACTCTTAGCATGTTAGGATGTTTTCGTTTGGATTGAAATTTGTTGGTCTGAACTGATCTGCTCTGTTACTTTTCTATTCTCTATGTACTCCGTATTTTATAACTACGACAGTCTGGTTTGATTTGGTCTTATCTGTTTTGGTATGTTACATACATACTTCAAACTTCACCCCAAGGGATGACTAGTCGACTCAGATTCAATTAGGATTTGAATTTTTATCACTCTAAGAGCATCTTCAATGTTAAAACGTTAACAATGCATACGTAGCATGAGAGATAGACAATGAAATCACAATAAATAGAATATCTCTCTCCTTATTTGAAGGATCTTATATCATTTTGGTAAGTTTTTCTTCACAATGTCAAACACAATGTCTAGATGCATGTAGACATTGTGGTTGATATTGCAGGGAAAAACTTACCAAAAACACATAAGAGCGTGAAAAGACGGAGAGAGAAATGTTATAAAATCAATCTTTTGTGTCTATCTCTCTCATGCCACATGACATTGAAAATGCTCTAATAAAATAATTAATGTGTGGCTTTAATTGAGTTGACTAGTCAGTCTAACATGTAAGGTGTGTTTTGAGTCATCCATCCATCGTGCATTTTTCTTCTTTCTCCCATTTTTAACGTGATGTATCATGATGGGAATGTTTTTTGTCCTCAAATTTTTCGACGAAACTACGGAGTAGTTTTCAGCAGATAAAACTGAAATGATATTAAAGAGTGTTACATCAAGTCATCAACGTTATTTTATTTATCAATATAAAACTCTTTTGTTATGTGAAAAAAGCCAATTAAATCTGCATATATCAAAATTACTTGATTGAATTTTGAAGAGAAAGCGTCATTCCATTTAACAGTTTTCTTTAACCACAATTAGACACAACAGTATTTCAATAAATACTTTTATTCTAATCCTTATTTTGAAAAAAAAAAACTCCATAAAATTATAACGAAATAGGAACTTTAAAACTTTTAAAGTTCACCATAAAAGCTCTTTATCAAAACAAGGGTTTCTTTAATGAACTTTTAAAAAAAATGAATAAATTGAGAGTTGATAACCAATACGTATTATTCGGTCAATGTTCTTACAAATATGTAACTTTTGATTTCATGTGTACGAATTATGTAGTCAAAATAAGTAAAGTTTAAATTGTTTTGTGGTTGAATCGATTGAAGTAGATCTCATTTAAGCTAGTTTTCATTTTATTTTTCTTTGTTAACTAATGAAATACTACACCTACTTTAGTTATGAATTGTCTATAATTCAATAGAATCAGCCAGTGGAACTGGTCCGTTTTATCTATAATTTTATCAATTTGAAATGTTATCAATGTGCGTCGATTTTAATACCCAGGTAAAGGAAGAAAAAATTAAAAAATTCAACATAATCAGCCAATGTGCATGAAAATACGTATCCTTTGTAGAATTGAGGACAATATTTGTTTGACTTGTGAGTGGCAAGAATGATAATGAGATTTTAATATCATGAACCCAACAACCGAAAAATATCCTTTACTTCAGAGGACACCAAATTATCCATCTTTTCTTCTAAAACAGACCCACTAAATACCTTTTAAAACAATCAATCGATTATTAATTATATGAATTGGCTTGTAAAACAGGGGAATTAGGGTCGACAATACTATATTCAGTAGCACGCGGACTTTGTAAGTAGAGACAAAAGAGTATGGATTATGGAAGTAATAATTACACATATCGACATAACAAAAGATGTTTTGTATTGAACTGTTTTGGGCCTGCCACATCAAACCTTATCAGGCCACAGTTAAACAGAATAAACAAGATTAGATTTAAACAGACCAGTCAAGACCAACAAATTTCAGTGAGAACATCCAAAAGAGTGGTGCTATGCCACAAACTTGGCTTGCCTAGTACCGATACTATGGGTGTAAATACCTCGTAGATGCTTAGAAAAACCGACTCGAGTTTGATCATATTTAGAGTTTTAAACTTGACTTGAGTTAAAAAATTTAACAAGCTCGATTAAAGTCTTTTTATTTTAGGTTCAGGATTCATGAGCTGATTCACGAGCCTTGATGTAAAGATACATACACATACATACTTCGGGTATAATATTTATATACAATTATATACTCCCTCCGTTCCTAAATAAACTTTCAACTTTCCTTTTTCGTCCGTTCCAATTAAAACTTCCACTTTTCCTTTTTGGTAAAGAATTTGTGGTTCACAACATTTCTTACACATTTCTCTGTCCTCTGCACAACTCTCCACCACACAATATCCACTATCTTAAACTTTGTGCCAAACCCATTTGGAAGTTAAAATGGGAACGGAGGTAGTACATAGCATATACTAGTAATAAACTTGAAAGATTTGTAATTTATGGTTATTCTATTTTCAATACTTATTATTATACAGTTAATAGGAAATAATTATGCATATAGTACATAATAATACGGAGTATTGATTACAGAGTATTATTATCATAACCATGCAACAACATACGAAAACATGAAGGTAGGATAAAAAGAATAAGAAAAAAAAGAATACTACCTCCGTTCTGAAAAGGTTTGGCATATTGAGTTGTCTTGATCAATGATGACAAACTTTGAAAAATGATTTTAATTTTTATATTTGTATATAATTTATAAATTTTATACTTTTATGAAAATATTTTGAATAAGGAACATTTTTATATAATTTTCACATTTCAAATATTTTCGAATTAAAAATATCATTGGTCAAAGTTGAATGTCATTAACCAAGAAAAATTAATTTGACAAACCTTTTCGGGACGGAGGGAGTATAAGATAAGACAACATAAGAAAGATAAAATGAAATATTGATAAGGAAAAAGGGGCAAATAAGCCAACGTACTAATAAAAAAGGTCAAATAAGCCCTTATATAGGAGGTTGTGTTCGGCTGTTGCCATTTGGGGCAGTTTCCGGTGGAATTTTTTTATGACATTTTTTGAGAATCTTATTCATTAAGTCTAGTTTACTAATACCAAATTTCAGCTAACAATTCAATTGGGAAGGCATTCAAATAAATTTTTGAAGATAACTGTGCTTTTAACTGCGCAGCTATATTCAAGAAGTCATTTGAATGCCTTCCCGATTGACGTTTTAGCTGAACTTTGGTATGAGTAAACTAGACTTAATGAATAATATGATCAAAAAATTTCATAAAAAATGTCCACCGAGAACCGCCCTAAATGACGATGGCCGGAGATAGCCTCCTATATAAGGGCTTATTTGATCTTTTTTGGTTCGTACGTGAGCTTATTTGCCCCCTTTTCCTATTAATAATTTGGAAAGTAGAAATTTTATTTTTAGCTCATGAACCGGCTGGAGATCGAATCAAGCTCAAGCTATTATATTGAGCATCTTATTTGAGCTCAGTCTTATAAAAATTAATTAGCATAACTCGGTCCAAGATCGAATCAAGCTCGAGCTAAGCTCAACTCGAGTTCAAGATCGAATTATTTAGCTCTTCCAAGCTCGAGTTCGTAAATTCTTATCAAGTTCGAGCTCCAGTACACCAATGTTTGAGCTCAGTTCGGAATTTTGCACCCCTACCCGGTACGCTTTCTGTCCATGTTTTGATTTCATATATTCTCATATCATATTTCATTCCTATTATTAGACATAGTAAAAGAAATCATAATACTTCGTATATACTATGAGGTTATAATGCTAAACTATCTTCTATAAATGTAAATTATGAATACAAGAAATTGCATCATATAAAAAAAACAACCCCGTTATAAAACAACCACTTTTTCATCAACTCAATATTGTATAGGATACTCTATTGCTCTAAATACCCTCCTCTGTCCACCTCTTAGTGCACTGTAAATATAAATTGTGTTTGTTTTCTCTCTCAAATTTATGCAACTTTCTATCATTCTATGTTCATTGTAAGTTGGAGTTTCAAAACTCATGTCAGGTTTTCACCTCTCTATCTCAGACCATCCTCAAACAGCACACAATCAAGCACCACAGGAAGGGACAGTCACACTCAGGCCATCCCAGCCATCTCAACGCACACCATAGGCTAGGAGGGGAAGCTCAGAGAGAAAGCACCACAGAAGAATCGAAGGAGAAGAGACAGAGTCTCTCTCGTTCTCTCTCGCCTCACTCTCTCTCTAATCGAAGGATCTCACTCGCTCAAGTGCAAACAGAGGAGCTTAAGTACCAAAGGGGTGCAAGGAACCCTAATAGAGGATTCTAGAAAAGGGGCTAGCGAGAAACAAACATGGGCCGGAGACCAGAGGCAAGTAAACAGGCCCAACAAGACAAAGAGAGCTGTCATGGCTTTATGGGCCAATACCTCCACACTCTCCACCTTATTGGCCATCATTGGTGGTGCAAGGTATCACAAAGTAACATGAGCACGTGGTTCATCATCGCTGGGTCACCAGTGATATCCTAAAGACATAACTGGCAAACAAATTGGAGATACACAAAATACTCCCAAAAGAAAATTGGAGAAGCACCCGAGATACTCTCCCTAATCGTGAGAGCAGATTCTCTCAAGCACTGCGCTTTCAAGAATCTACTCTCCCAAATACCCAAAACCTGCAAACAGAGTTAACCGCAATCCAAATTTAAAATTTGTTTACAAGACAACAACTTTTCAGCAGACAGGCACTTCGTCCCCATATCTGCTGGGTTGAACTCTGAGGGTATCTTGCATAGCTTCACCTTACCTGCATCTAAAACATCATGAATAAAGTGGAACCTCACATCAATGTGTTTGGTTCTATCATGAAAGACAGGGTTTTTGCAAAGCCGGATAGCAGACTGGCTATCAGAAAACACAATGACATCCTGTTTAAGAAAACCTATTTCAGTGACAAGAAGTCTCAACCAGATGGCTTCCTTGAAGGCTTCTGTAGCTGCAACATACTCAGCTTCAGTGGTTGATAAGGCAACAATAGGTTGTAACTGAGATTTCCAACTAATACAAGAACCACACAAAGTGAACACATAGGAAGTGGTAGATTTCCTATTATCTTTATCATTAGCATAGTTAGAATCAACATAGCCACTCAATTTCACACCTTCAACACACTTGGTAAAAATCAAACCATTATTTGCAGAAAATTTCAAGTATCTCAAAAGCCATTTCAAAGCATTCCAATGAGGCATACCAGGATTAGACATAAACCTACTCAAACAGCTCACAGCACAGGCAATATCATGTCTAGATCGAACTAACCATCAAATACATCACATAACCTATAGCATTAGAGTAAGGAACAGACTTCATAAGCTCAATTTCAGAAGCAGTCTTAGGAGACTGATTCTTACTTAGCACAAAATGAGAGGCAAGAGGTACATGCACAGGTGCAGCAGAAGACATATTAAGCTTACTCAAAACCTTCTCAACATAAGAAATCTGATTTAGAACAAGAGTATGTTTGCTCCTGTCCCTAACAATGTTAATCCCAAGTATCCTCTTGGCATCACCAAGATCTTTCATAGCAAAAATCTCACAAAGGCATTTTTGAACATATATAATAGATTTAAGACAAAGGCATATAATCAACATGTCATCCACATAGATTAACTAGAACGCAGGAACATAGTTAATATTCTTGAAATAAAGACAATGATCACAGGCAGATTTCACAAATTTCATAGACTGCATACACTTGTCAAACCTAATATTCCACTGCCTAGGGGATTGTTTCAGGCCATACAAGGCCTTCCTAAGCAGACAGACATGGTCACTCCTCTTGGGATCCACAAAGCCCTCAGGTTGAGTCATGTAAATTTTCTTATCCAATTCACCATGCAAAACTGCAGTGGTGACATCCATTTGTTTCATCTCCCAGTCATGGTGAGCAACCAAAGGCAACATGATTCTAACAGTAGTAAACTTAACTACAGGAGCAAAGATTTCTGCATAATCTACCCCCGCTTTTTGAGTAAACCCCTTGGCAACTAACCTAGCCTTATACCTAATTTTGTTACCCGGTTCTTCCTTGACCTTAAACAGCCACTTGCACTCAACTACTAAGCTGATATCAGGTCTAGGAACAAGGGTCCAAGTCTGGTTCACTCTCAGAGAGTCCATCTCACTTTTCATGGCCTCAAGCCATCTCTGAAACTCTCTGGACCTTATAACTTCACTATAGGTCTTAGATTCATTTAGGTCTAGGGCCTCAAACACAGTAAAAACAAAATCAGATATAGCACACGCATTAAAAGCATAGTCAGACAAAGTATCAGATTTTCTCTTAATGGTTCTTCACCCCTATCCCTAACAAGTTGGTAGTCATGCAAATCAACATAATCATTCTCAGCAGAATCATCAAACACATTGGTTCCACTAGACACAGAATCATTATGCACATGGTCATCATGAGTATTGAACTCCACCTCACCGGAGGTAGCAGTATCACCAGAAGTATTAACATGCACATCAGAAGGGATGACAGGTACAAATGGAGGAGTGTCATACATCACAGAAGGAATAGCAGGCACAGAAGAGACCTGAGGCTCCACCTCAATAGGTGTCCTCTCAGGTTCATGCTCAGAAATAGTTTTAAGCAAGAAAGGGAAATCAAACTCATTGAAGATTACATCCCAACTTATAACCACCTTAAAATCAGACACACTTCTATCCCACAACCTATATCCCTTTACCCCATTAGGATACCGCAAGAAAACACAATTTTTGGATCTAGGATCTAACTTATCAGTTTTCTGATGAACATAGGCAGCACACCCAAAGACCCTAAGGTTTGACAGGTCAAGAGGCCCACCAGTAAACTTAACTTCATGGCATTGACCCCCAATGGGAACATAGGGAGATCTATTTATCGGATAGGTGGCAGTGGTAACTGCTTCACCCCAAAACTTCTTAGGCAAATCTGAGATAGACAACATACTTCTAACCTTGTCAAGAAGGGTTCTATTCATCCTTTCAGCCACCCCATTCTGTTGGGGGGTGTAGGGCACAGTCTTATGTCTCCTAATGCCTGAAGTGGCACACAGTTGGTCAAGCTCATGGTTACATAACTCTAGGCCATCATCAGTCCTAAGGGTCTTAACATTCTGTCCAGTTTGATTTTCTATAAGTAACTTCCAGGCCTTAAACTTCTCACAAACATCAGACTTATGTTCTAGAAGGTAGACCCACACTTTCCTAGAAAAATCATCAATTAAGGACAAGAAATACTGTTTCCCCCCATGTGTGGGAACACTGGCAGGACCCCAAACATCAGCATGCACATATTCAAGCACAGAGGAGCACTTTGTCATATTAGGATAAGGGGATAGAGGGAATTGGACTCTATGTTGTTTACCAAACACACATGATTCACAGAAAGTCAAAGAGTTCACAGAGTCTTTACCAAAGTAACCATGTTTATGCATGATCCCTAAACCTTTATTACTCGTATGCCCTAGTCTATTATGCCACAACAAGGTTTTATCAGTATGCACAACATTCACAACATTCACAGAGTCAATATAAGGTTTAGCATGACACACATAAATGTTGTTCACCTTCTCAGCTTTAAACAACACCAGAGAATTTTTCAAAATTTTCATACAACCATTCCTCCACTTTCCCTCTATTCCACTACCCTCCAAGGCAGCAACAGATAACAAGTTGTGACACAAATCAGGGACATGCCTCACATTCTTAAGAGTAAACATAGATCCACAAGAAAACTTAAGACATATATCACATATACCTAGAAGCATTGCATCTCTTATTATCAGCCAAGGAAACATAACCCATATCACATTTCTCATATTTAGAAAACAAGTCCCTAAAAGGAGTCATATGATAGGTGCAACCAGAATCAATTAACCATTCATGCTCAGTCAAGGTATTCCGAACAGAATTAACATGATCACACACCATGAGAACCTCACCAAAGTCATCTCTCTCTATAGCTACACTAGCCTGCTCAGGTTTCTTGGGATGGGGATAGTCTTTAATAAAGTGTCCAGAATTGCCACAGTTGTAGCACACACGTTTTCTAGACTTATTCCTCTTCTTACCATTTTGGTTACTAGTTTTAGCTTGGGCATCCTGTTTCTGATTCTTAGACCTACTCTTAGATCTACCCCTCACAAACATAGCCTCACCAGAATCCTTGGATTGACTAGAAATACTCCTATTATGTTTAAGGTCAAGCTCTTTACTCTTAAGGCCATTCACAACAATATCAAGGGTGACATCATCTCTACCATATTTAATAGCAGATTTAACATAATTATAAGAATCAGGAATAGCATTAAGCAACACAACAGCAGTATAATCATCAATATGCTTATCACCAGATAGTTTAATGTTCTGGATCAACTTATTAAAAACATCCAAGTTTTCATCAATGTCTTTGGTTAGGTCTAGCCTAAACCGAAAGAACTTTTCAAGCAAAAATAGTTTACCAGGCAGAGAGGTGTCAGTATAAAGATCATGTAACTTATCCCACAACTTTTTAGCAGAGTCTAAAATACCAACATTTCTAAGCACAGAGTCAGATAGGTTAAGATAAATAGTAGAGCGGGCAGTTTCATTCATTTCAACTTTCTTAGCACTATCATCAGAATCCAAATAAAGTTCACTTACAACTCTGAAAACCTTTTGCTGGAATAAAACACATTTGATCTTTTGTTTTCAAATGTCAAAATCAGTTTTCCCATTAAAAGGTAGCATACCATACATGTTGGCAGACATAGCAACAGACACCAGAGAGAACACAATAAGGATAATGCTGAAGATCAGTAAGAGAAAACAAGGTCAATGAAAGAACAGCACACAGAGAGACAAAGAACCAAGGAGCTAGGGTTCCCCAGTGTACCCGACTGCGGGCTGACAGGCCACGCATATCTGAAGGTCACTTGAGTGACTGGTAGGGAACCTGTCAGTCCTAACCTCAGGTGCCGAGTCACACAGGTTAAAAAAATCCCAGTTCACAAGGGTAACAAACAAGCACAAAGGACAGTAAAGGTGACAGATTACAAGTTCAAAACCTCAAGCCCGCATACACAAAACCAGTACGAATCACAGATCTAAACATGCAGACACAGAAAACACACATGCAAACCAAACTTCACACACAAAGGTAAAGCGTACACACCTGGGAATAGTCAGTTACAACTGACAGCCAGACCAACTAGGTCAGCAGCAAAAGCAAAGCGGGGAAAAGGATGAAGCATGTAAAGAAACACACAAAAAAACACTGGAGGCACCCGGCTACCTAGGGTGTTTATCGCCAATTTACCTGAGCGAGAACCCGTGGATGGGCTTCTCGACTTACCACTCAAAGGAGATCTGCGGCGGATGGCGGCGGAGGAGCTCTCGGGCTGTAGACGAGGATGACAGGAGGTCCGACTCTGATACCACTGTCATGTTTTCACCTCTCCACCTCAGACCACGCTCAAACAGCACACAACCAAGCACCACTGAAAGGGATAGTCACACTCAGGCCAGGCCAGCCATCTCAACGCACACCATAGGTTAGGAGGGGAAGCTCATAGAGAAAGAACCACAGAAGAATCGAAGGAGAAGAGACAGAGTCTCTCTCTCGTTCTCTCTCGCCTCACTCTCTCTCTAACAGAAGGATCTCACTCGCTCAAGTGCAAGCAGAGGAGCTTAAGTACCAAAGGGGTGCAAGGAACCCTAATAGAGGGTTCTAGAAAAGGGGCTAGCGAGAAACAAACATGAGCTAGAGTCCAGAGGCAAGTAAAAAGGCCCAACAAGACAAAGAGGGCTGTCATGGCTTTATGGGCCAATACGTTCACAACTCAAAAGCATCCAATCTGAAAGTATAACCTAAACTTTTGTGATGACAAATAAGCTAGATTCACACAGCTCAGTTCATTTTTTTCTCCAACTTGCATGCTGCGCTGCTAATGAAAGTACAACTTTATAATTAAGGTACAATTATATAAAACCAAAGAATGATGATTATCTATAAATGAAGGCAATTAACATGAAAGCAAGATTTGTTAAGAGTTAGGATGAGGAGCAATATTGGTAAGCTATACTTAAAAAACAATAAACAATTACAGCAATTAATACTTGAAGTTGGTTTTACTTAACAATCTCCTAATCTACACCCTTTTCTTTGTGTATTTTAATTATCTATTACTAGTATTATTATATATCTAAAAAAGTTCCCTACTTAACCGCAGATTTGCAGACAAAATCAACATTGCCTCTACTTTCTTCAGAAAATTAAGAAAGACAAAATCAAGAAGAAAAAATGGCTGGAACTGATAGAGTGAATCATCAGAATCAAGAACTAGTACCAACTGGAAAATTAGGTAAAATAATGCCAGTACTAGAAGCAATGAGGCGTCCACGTGGCAGGCCGGCCGGGTCAAAGAACAAGCTGAAACCGCCGGTTATCATCACGCGGGACAGCGCGAATGCGCTTAAAGCACACGCGATGGAGGTCAGCTCCGGCTGCGACGTCAACGAGAGCCTCCTGAGCTTTGCCCGGAGAAAGCAACGGGGAATATCCGTCCTGAGCGCGACGGGGTCCGTCACCAACGTGACGTTGCGTCAACCAGCGTCCTCGGGATCAATCGTGACCCTCCACGGGAGGTTCGAGATCGTATCTTTGCTCGGCTTGATTCTGCCACCCCCGGCCCCGCAGGGGGTGACGGGGCTGACCATATTCCTCGCCGGAGCGCAGGGGCAGGTGGTGGGTGGGTCCGTGGTCGGTGCACTTATCGCCTCTGGTCCGGTCGTGATCATGGCCGCAACTTTCTTGAATGCCACTTATGATAGGCTGCCATTGCATGATGATGAACAAGTCATTTCCACGGCCAACCACCACCACCAGAATGGCGGCGGCTATCAGAATGTGGAGGTTTCTGACATATATGGGTTGCCACAGAGTCTAATTAGTGGCGGCGGTGCTTTACACCCAGTTGAGGTTTACACTTGGGCACCGCCCAAGAATTTGTCAAAACCATAGATGCTGTTATGCGCCAGAATTCCAGAAATTATTATTCTAGAGAAACGATACTCCTCTAGACTTTCATCAATGTTCTTAATTTATTTTACTTCTCATAGCTAAATAAGAAAAAGTGTATCTATATGATAATCATTCAATGTATGTTATTATTAGACCAACTTATCTTATGTTTAACAGATTATGATGTTCAATTAACAATGAATATGGGATACAATGTACGTAATTATCTTCAATATCAAGCTGAAACAAAAGCCTCCTTTCATTTGTTTCACTAAATTTGTGAGAGATAGTAGCCACGGATGTTGGTATTTGTACTTGTATGATATAAATAATTGCGAGTTACGAAGTTGACTATGCCAAAAAATGATTTGTCTGCCTTCCCGATCGAATTTTGAGCTGCAATTTGGTATGGATAAATTAGATTTAATGAGGAACATGCTAAACAAATGTCATTAAAAAAATGCCCCAAATGGTGATGTTCGGACAGTGTTCGGACCGGGAGCTGCAGGACACGATCATTTTTTCTCTCTATAGGTACACACACACACACACACACACACACACACACACACACACACACACATATATATATATATATATATATATATATATATATATATATATATATATATATATATATATATATATATATATATATATATATATATATATATATATATATATAATATAGTAGCGATCTTGTGAGGCCGATCTAACAGGACTCGCCGTTCGGCTGAGGTCTTTTGGGGACTTCCTAGTGGAATTTTTTGATGAACTTTTTTGAGAATGTTAATCATCAAATCTAGCTAATGCATACCAAATTTCAGCTAAAAAATCATTCGGGAATGCAATCAAATAAATATTTGAAAAAGAGTGCGCTGCTTATGTATATATATAAAGTACTACCTCCGTCCCAAATTGATTTGCAAATTTGACTTTTCTTGGTCAAACAGTTTCATTTTATTCGCTTAATTAGGATGTCAAATTTTAATTATATTCTAATTCGGAGTTTACAACTTTGAAGATATTTTAATGTAGTTTCTGAATATATAAATTTTAATTATTAAAAATTGAACTAATTATCGATAGGGAGCATTGACTTTTTTTATTGATTGACCAAAAAATGTTGACTTTGCAAAACAATTTGGGATGGAGGAAGTACAAATTTTGTATAGAATTTATTTAATTGTCTTCCCGATTGAACTTTTAGCTTAAATTTGGTAGGGATAAACTAGACTTGATGAATAACATGCTTAAAAATTTGCATAAAAAAATTACACTGGAAAGGGACCCAAATGGGCTCGTCCTGACGGCGGTTCCCTTCAGGCGGCCTGATACGAACTGCCCTCTATATACGGAAAGGCCAAATGGAAATTGTACACAAAGCATGAAACCCAAATTTTATACGGAAAGGCGACGATATCTTAATGCACTAGAGAAGAAGACGGAAACAACTTCCTTGTACAACATTACTCGAAAGAAGATGACCGTCTCGTGTGAGTAGGGTTTGAAGAAAAGAAAGAGCCGATGGTGGAGGTGGATGACGGCGGCAGAGAAACGGAGTTAGTAAGGGAGAAGGACGACACCAGTTTTATTTCCGGCGCGAAACAATCAACATGGATGGCAGTGGCGGACCCAGAAAGTTAGAGTCACGGGGTCCCTACCCTTTTATATCTCTAATCTCTAATTAATACAAGTATAAAACTTGTTGGTCCAAAATAGGACGCTCGTAGGCTTTTAGGAAAGCTACGTAAGAACACTCAAGCAGGAATTAGGAAAGTACTAATATGGAAAGTTGCAAAGGGATTTTGGTAGCCAGAAATAGCATATCTATTGTTTGAATCGAACTTGCCTTTTATAGGCGATTACAAATGATAACTGCCAAAGATACTAATGTCTAATTAATTACAACATTAATATGGAATTAAATACATAATTAAGTCACGCACTAATTACTTTGGCCGTTATTGTTCCTGGTTGGCAGGTCGGCCTGACTGGCAGGCTGGACGCTTGAGCTCCTTCCTGTTGGACTGTACGGTGGGCTCCCCGCTAGGCTGGAGGAAGGCTTCTGACCGGGCTGGGGGCAGGCTCCTGGCTAGGCTGGAAGGTAGGGTCCCCACTGGGCTGGAGGAGGGCTTCAGACCGGGCTGGAGGCAGGCTCCTGGCTAGGCTGGAAGGCAGGCTCCCCACTGGGCTGGAGGCAGGCTGTCGGTTGCGCTGGAGGACAGGCTCCTCGCTGGTCCGAAAGGCAGGCTCCCGGTTGGGCCGGTAGGCAGGCTCTCCGTTGGGCTGGAAGGCAGGCTCCCCGCTGGCCGGGCTAGAAGGCAGGCTCCCCGCTAGACTGGTCGACAGGCTCTCTTGGGCCGACTCGAGCTCTGGGTTGCTGGGCTTGGGCCTGCTTGTCCAAGTTCGGGGCCTGGGCCGATTAGGCTCTGGGCTTAGTCACATAACCGCATCACGAGCCCCCCACTCCCTTAGTCGAGTAGTAGACTGACGTGCACTCGTCGTTAGGTGCACTCAAAATAAATAATCAATACGACACTAATACGTAGTATAGTGTAGTAAGGTTCGTATCCACAGGGAAAGGAATACTTTTCTTTTATAAAAGTAGTAACAAAGGGGAGTTTAGATTTGTTTGTTTTAACAACACTAAGATAAACAACCTATATGAGTTTAATGCAATGAGATGAAGACTTGGTCTTGCTTTTATCCACTTAATGAAATGTTCGTCGATCCCGGTTATATCTTTAACTATCTTCCTCTCGAATACTCAATCGAGGAGTATATCCAGTTCATCGAGGGTAGTTATTAATAACGAGATGCGTTCATTAATAAAACTTACTATCGAGTCAATATAGAACAAGCGCCGTATATTAACATGATAGTAGCAATAAACTTAAGATGAAAACGATTGAGATTGATAACCTCAACACATGCGGTTTATTGGTTTAATCAATATAATTAATTCCCCTTGGCATATTAACCATGAGATGCATGCATTAATATTCCAAGTTTACTACCGTTGAAAGAATCGGATTAATAACAAGCGTATTAACCGATTGATTATAGTAATAATTAATATGAGAAACAATACTAGGTGATACTTTAAGTAATGTTTAAGATATTGACATGAAATATGAATAGGAATTAATTAATACTCAAGGAAGAATATTAAAATATATGAATCCTACTATGATTAATATCAAGATGTTAACTAATTGTCGTCTTAGTAACACTCCCCAATATTATCATAGAGGAAGAAATAGCTATTACTATAATCAATGTCAAGATGTTAACTAATTGTCATCTTAGTAACACTCCCCAACTTTGATATAGAGATAGTATTTTGAAAGAAAGAATTAATATTCAAGAAAGAAGATTAAAGAAAATAACTCACAACTTACAAATTCATTAAGCTTCAAAGTAGCAAAACCAAGATGGAAGAGTTTAGCTCCTCATTTGGAGACTAAACATGATGAAAAATATAAAGAAAGAGCTATTCTATACTGAGCTTAGATGTAAAAAGGGATTGGATAGCAAATGGGAAGGAAAAGAGGTGTATTTATAGGTGTTTGGAGGTAGCAGGGTCATTTACCCGACCGGGTTTTATAGAAACCCGATCGGGTTTCTTGAGTAATTGCCCGGAATGTTCATTAGTCACATCTACCCGATCGGGTTTTTGATTTACCCGATCGGGTAAAAGACAAATCTTTGCCAAATCTTCGCTCTGCATGTTAAATTGCCTCCAAATCAAATTTGATCTTCGGGTCAAGTCAAACCCGGTCGGGTTTTTTGACTATTTTCCCAAATTTTCACTTTTTGTTGTTCCCTTGCACTTTCCTTGAACCTTCCAGGATCCTTTTGACGATCTTTACCTAGTTTAAGCTCAGAAAGTCCCTAATCTAAACAAATTACAACTATTTTACAAACTAAACTATTACACCAAAAGTGTGTAATATCCAAAGTGAAAGTCAATCAAAACTAATTAAAAATACAAAAATAAACATGGAAATTACATGAATGTCAACTCCCCCACACTTAGTTTCTTTACTCGTCCTCGAGTAAAGCCAAATGTTTGTACAAGTGTTAACAAAAGATCATAAGTTCAAGAATAGCAAGAAAGAACACAAGACCACCAAGGGTTGCGAATGAGTTACAAAACAACATTTTCTTGGGTTTGTTGGTCTTCTATGTTCTTTGTTTCTCCTTCTCCTCCTCCTCCTTTTTCTTCTTCTTTCTCCAAGAGATGATATTCTGCAAAAAAAATACATATTTCTCTCATATCTCTCATTTTGTCTAGGAGCCTTTTCAGGTTTTCATCCTAGCATCTCTCTTTTATTTTTCCATCCTTACCGCTCACTCATTTTTTTTTGAAGCCCTTTTTTGCTTAGATTGCCCGTGTTTGGGTTTTCAATCTAACTAGCATTCTCTTCTTGTTTTTATTTTATTTATTTATTTATTTTCCTTCTTTTTTTTTCTTTTTGTTTTTTTTAGACAAAGAAAATAATGCAAGTTATCATGGTAGAAAATGAAGGTGTACATACCAAATGAGTGCCCCCTTACTTTGTCCAAGCACTGTCCCTAGTGCTCCGTGTCATTAGCCTCGTCGTGGTAGCCACCATAACCGCTGCCCTCACCGCCATAGCCTCCTCCGCTCCCGCTTGCTCCACCAAAATTTCCCCAAAAAGAAGGGTCATACCATGTAGGGTGTTGATGCTGAACTGGTATGGATGAGAAGTAGCCCTGATTATCAAAGTAGGCATGTATAGGTCCCAATGCCCTACGTTGATTTTCTTCTAAACGGTCGAGTCTCAAGCGTTGTTCCTCCCGTGCCTGTCGGACTTCCTCATAGAGATTATTAATTCTCCCATCCGTAGCCGTTTGGTTAAGATGGATTTGGTTCATCCCGACTAGCATTTGTTGCTCAAAAAGGCTAAATTGAGGGGCGTGAGGGTCTGGTTGAGGTTCATTTTGTGGCGGGTTGGGGATGTATGGGGGTGGCTCAATCTGTGCTGGGATTTCTTCAGGGATGATGTAGTGTTCCGGGATTGCTCCGGGAAGGCAAAAGTGTCTTCCATCCCCGAATTGTGCATCAAAGATGTCAGTGGGGAGTTCTGTCTCGGTTGGAAGGATAAAGAACCTTTGTGGGATTGTGTTTGTATGCCATTTGTAAAAAAATTTATCCCCGAAGTTGTGAGAGGAGATTAAATCATGGGCATTTAGGAGAAATTGAGTGCATACAAGACCCCACTCAGGCATTGGT